TTTCAGTTAAAGATGAATTTTTCTATTTGTACTGAGCTAACAGTTGAAACATGTCATGGTTTATTCAATGATAAAACAGGTTGGATTGATTTCAGTTGATCAGTTAGGATGCAAAGCTTATAGCCTATAGAACAGGACTTGACGGGGATAAAATACAGACTATCTGTTACCATCACAAGCAGACCTTGTTGACTGACTATGAATGGCTTGAAAAAAAGATGTAATCCATTTAAAAATCATAAAAAACAAATCAAAAGTGGTTTGAAACCAATTTCATTGGAGATGGCAGACAAGGCAAAGGCTAAGTTGGTATTAATCCTAGACAAGAAACTCTGCCCTAATTGTCGAATACAAATCCACAAAATACTTCCTGATAAAGAACCAAGACATGTATCAGATGAGGAAATACAAGAACTTGAAGCAGGTACTCCTACAGAATCAGAAAAGAGTAGTAATAATGAAGAACCAAGACCTGTATCAGATGAGAAAATGAAAGAGCTTGATACAAGTACTTCTGCAGAAACACAGAAGAGAAATATCAATGAAGGTTTCTCTGCTATTGGAATTTCTCCACTGAAAACAAAAGAGCTTCATTACTCAGGAAAAGTTACTTTAGGTAAGAGAAAAACTTTTTCTGCAATGCAATGTGTAAAGACCAAAGTAGCCAAGTCATTAAAGGTTGACTATAAGCTGTTGAATGATGAGGCTTTAAAAGTCAAAAAGGATTTTTTAGATAAAGCAAAGTGCTTTGATAAAATGATAGAGCTTCTTGTAAAGTGAAGACAGTGGAATCAACTAAAATCAAAATACAGATCTTGACACTTGCACCTACTGACTGATCACACAAAAAAGTCATGGATGTGTTTGGTGTTTCAGAACACATTGTACGCAAGGCTTGCAAACAAGGCTTGTTTGGAAAGAGGTAATTTAGCTGTGCCAGAACCAAAAAGGAGCAAGTCTTTGCCTGCTGATATTGCACAGTTAGTGGAAGCATTTTACCAAGATGATGAATATACTCAACTGATGCCAGGCAGGAAAGACTGTTAGTATTAAACGTAATATTCATCAGCAGAAAAGACTCATCTTGTGCAATCTAAATGAGCTATTCAGAGCATTCAAGGAACAGAACCCAACAGTACCTTTGGGATTTTAAAAATTTTGTAGTCTAAGGCTGAAATGGTATGTCTTTGCTGGTAGTGCAGCTATGCATGTTGTATGTGTATGCACCAAAAATGAAATTATTACTGGAACCACTGAATGTATTATATAAAGATCTCTGGAAATATATTGTCTGTAATACCAGTAGCAGAGAGTGTATGATTTATAGGTGCCCAAATTGTCTTAAATCACCAGGGTAGCTTGAAAAATTTCTTTGACACCATGGAAGGATATATTGATAATGATGAATCAATAGAGTTCTCCCAATGGACAACAACTGACCGATCGACTTTGACAACACAAAAGGAATCCTATCAAGCTTACATTGATTTAGTTGCTTTGCAATAAATTAGCACCTCATTCTTACTTGGCTAAATCACAATCAAAGCAAAGAAAAGAGCAGATTAGTGGTAGTGAAATTTTGTTTCTGGTAGATTTTGCTGAGAACTACAAATTTATAGTTCAAGATGAGATCCAGAGTTATCATTGGAATACTTCACAATGTACTTTACATCCAGTGGTACTCTACTTTAAGCTTGAAAATGCAATGCAAAGTGAATGTTTCTGCATTATGTCGAGTGACGACTCACATAATGTAGCATTTGTTTATATGGTACAGAAAAAAAATTATTGAGGTAATCAAAGCTACCTTGCCAAACATAAAAAATATTGAGTATTTTACTGATGGTTGTGAAGCACAATACAAGAATTATAAGAACTTTGCCAATTTGTGCAACCATCAGAAAGATTTGAGGCTCAATGCAAAATGGAATTTCTTTGCAACAAGTCATGGTAAACAACCATGTGATAGCATAGGTGGGACAGTGAAAAGGATAGTGTCAAAAGAAAGTCTCCAAAGACCAACTACCAAACAAATCCTTTCCACAGAATCTGTTTGAATATTGTAAATCTGCAATTGAAGATATCAAATTCATTCTGGTTGAAAAGGAAGAAGTTGAGGAAAGGTGGAGGAGTCTCACCATGAGATTCAAAAATCCATCCACAGTCCCAGAAACAAGAAGTTTTCATCAATTCATTCCACTCACCAGAGATAAAATAGCTATGAAACAATGTAGCGAAGATGAAAACTATGACCTAATATATGACTTTTCTATTGAGACTGAAGAAAAACCAGTAAATTCTTTTGTTTCAGGATATGTTTGTTGCAAGTGCGATAATAAAATTTGGATTGGCATGGTCCTGGAAATTGATATGGAGAATAAGGATTTGCTGATTAAGTTCATGCACCCAGCTCTTCCATCACATTCATTTTACTGGAAAGAAGATTTTAAGGATATGTTTTTTACCATTAATGAATACTCTGTGCACTGTTGATGTTCCTACAACAGCAAATAGTAGAGTTTATCATTTGTCCAAGATGGATTAATTATCTTTGCAAAAAATTATATCCAAAACAATTTAGTCCATATGCACAACAAAATTTAGTGCATAGTGTAGTTTAAAATGTAATCTTTTAAAGACACTTTCTATATTCATTTTTATTATGATTTTTCTCCTGAATGAAACAAAATTCAAATATTTGTTTCATGAAAATAATTTTGAAAAATTATTCAATAAGATTGTTTTTATTAATTAAAAAAAAACTATAAATTTTCATTGTTATTTTTTAAGTTACTTAGCACAATATCAGCATTTTAGAGGTCATGGAGCATTAGGATGATTGTCTTTAATTATAATCTTTCTCGGAAATCCTGCACATACATAGGAAAAAAACTCAACTTGGCAGGGTCATATCTTCTAAAGTAGACTTAAAAAAACCCTCACAAATTTTTTGGTGAACTTCAGCAGACATTGTAGATGTTAGGCAAAAAATATTATGAAAATTGAAGAGGATGTATTTTCGATAGACTGCTCATAAGCTACATAGGTGAAAAGTTGTTGATTTTGGAGTCATGTATTTGGGTGAGTAAAATAAAATTTTCTAACAAGTGTAGGCTTGAAATAGTTAAATATTTGGATTCTACACTTTTTATTTGCCCTACATACCAAATTTCAGAAATATTGAAGGTATGGAAGTATTCTTTAATTTTAAAAAACACTGAGATTTGGCGACGTTGTGTGGCCTTAATTTAGAGGCAAAACAGGAAAATTATACCCACCCCTTTAAAATTGGAACGGTAAAGTCTAGCACAAAATAATTTGGCACACATTACTAACTCATGAAGGGGAACAATTGTGCCAAATTTCAAGTAATTCAGTGTCAGTGGGTGCAGATTTCAACATATTGCTGGTGTTTTCACATGGAATGACCCATACAGAAGAGCCTTTGGAATGTTCCCATTAGTAGATTGTTTCTTTCTATATTTTGCTGTCACTGTGAAGTAATGCTGGAGTGTCCTCTCTTGGGTGCCTCTGTAGGGTTTTATGAGAGATTGGTGGTAGCCCATGCAACATGTATTCCCTCTCAACACCACTGATATTGTCCAATACAGCTTGGCACCAGTGTTATTGCAGGAGTTGCCAAAGTCTTTCCCATGATTGGGTATGGCTGAGTTTTCTTTCTCATAGATGGACTACCCTCCTGGGCTGATGAATTGTATTTGGTATACATCTGGTTAATTGGAGTTTGTTGTTATAATACATCTGCTACTATTTTTTTTTTTTTCCAAGGGCTGTATAGATACTTCTGGGCTCAAGAGTGGCTGTTTCAGTTGTACATCTCTATACGTTTGTTGGATGTTGCAATTCTGGATGATGTAATCTATTTCTTTGTCTTGCTCCTTTTTTTTTTTTGCGTGTTATTGATGATATTAACTTTTTGATCGGTTTAGTCAGTTGCAAGAGTGTTTTCCTAATATGGGCTGTATGTTCCTTACTTTTATAATAAAAGTGATTTTTATGGGTTTTACCTTTTCTTTTTATTATGTCCACTTTACCAGCTACTGGGACTATGTTTGCTGTATACGATGTTAGTCTTATTTTTGCTGGACATATTTTGGGTTTTCATTTTATTTAAATAATTTGGCAGTAGGATGTTGACGTCAATGCCTGTGTCAAGTTTTATTTGCACTTTGATGCCTTGAAGTAGCAAGTTCACTGTGATTTAGTTGTCACATGTGTGTTCTCCATACAAATGATAGTAGACATCTTTGTTTCTAGCAGACTCATTTATACAGTGTACAGTTTTTTTTTTTTTTTTTGTTTGGCGCATGTTTTTAAAATGTTTGACCTTTAGGCACTTCCTAAACATCTGCCACATTTGTTGAACTTTGTTTTCGTTATTTTTTTTTCTTTGTGTATATTTCCATATGCCTGGCTGTATTTTTGTGTTTTGTTGATGGACCATAACTTGCTTATTGAAAGTGCAATGGAAACTTCTCTAGGCACAACTTGTAGCTATGATGTTATTCTTGCAGACATTTACTACTTTTTCCAGATTTTGGTTGTCCAAGTCCATTAGTCTTCCTCTTGTCTTGTCACTCCAGATTCCTATAATGATGTGGTTATTTTAAATGTCTTTTTAATGTTCATGCTTACATCTTTCTGTCTGTTTGTATGTCTGTGAGAAATAACAGGAAAGTTTCTCCTTCCTGCCATATCCTTGTGTTAAACCAGTATCTTTCTTGCCTTGTATATATTCCTGGAATTTTCTCACTAGTGTCTTATAATTTCCTTTTACTGTGTCAGTGAATGTTAGGGCATTGTATACCTCTATTGCCTTTTCCTGTTATGTGCAGGAACAATGCACAACTTTATTTTGTCCATCTTGTAAGGTACAATTCAAACTTCTGTAAACAGTTGCTGTATTTTTTTTTTTCAACATTTCCTTTTTATGTGTGGGCTTTCACTGTTAAAAAGATGTACTATTTCCACATTTCAGAATGTTTCACTATGAAAGACATGGAGATCAGTTTGACAGTTGTTTATCCCAAGTTCACAAGTGTGTAAAATGTCTGCATCTTGTGGTGAGCTCTCATTTTTTTATTTGATACCATGTCAGAATCTCATTTAGGAAATGTCCCATGTCAAGGGGCATAAGTCTGGTTACTAATTTCTGTGCATATGCTACAGTAAGTAGTGCAATTCAAATTTTGTAAGAATTCTCTTAGATTATAAAAAGAATACTTTGTATTGCTGTAGTTGGTTAGTCACAGGCAGGTCTTAGGACATTTCTTAACAATCTAATGGTTATTTACAATTTTGATATACTGACTATGATTTGACCCTAATCAACCATTTGAGATTGGGTAAATGGATTTAACTAAAGTTGAAGCTAATGCAATTGTAAAATCAGTTCCTATTTTTTTTTTATTCTAATGTATTGCTAAGAAAAACAATCTGTGAATGTAAAATATATTTTGGATTCAATTTGCATTGAATAGCAAGGAAATCTTTAAGGTTCTGTGTTAGGCATTACTATTGAAGTCATAGCAAAATTTTAATTTATTTTTTTAATTTACAAGATCTTTGTCTACCTCTTGTTGATGTTTTAAAAGTTATTAAAACTATTTGTATATTGATATCAGTTGAATTGGTATATTAACAATAGAAATCTATTATCTTTTTTTTTTTAAAAACATCTTGTCTCTTTTATTATACTTGGTTATTTGTTTACCTTTTGTTTGCCTTGCTTCAAGCAGAGCATTGACATTCTATAGAGGATGAATTGTATACAGGTTGATATACAGTTGCTTGCTTGAACTTAAACATGTCTTAAGAATGTTCCTGAATTAGATGGAAGTAAATGTCTTTGAAATTTTTTTTTGATATTTTTAATGTCACTAATTTCCAAAGTGCTATAAGTTTGTGACAAAGTTAAATTTAAGAATTTATTTGATTTTTTTTTTTTTTTTTTTTACCTTGTATTGGATTACCAGCAGTTCTGAAAGTTAGTCGCACATAATTTTTGGGAGAGGAAAGAAAAAGTTCAGCTTTAAAGATAAATTTCTTGTTGAAGCAAGTTGTCTTGAGAATAAATGTATTTTAGGCACTCTTGGTGGAACTTCTGTGAAGTTATAAATAAAGACTGAAGTGTCGATAATCATTCTCTTTTTCAGGTGCTGAGTTTATGTTGCTATACCTAATGAAATGCACATTAGACTAAGAAAATTGCACTTTTAAACTGCATTTTCTTTGCTCTGATTAGTTAAAAGTACCTCATTAATTTTTGTGGTCAGATAAATATTTTAGTGCTGTATACATTCATGGAGAAGTTTGTGCAAATTTGAATTTTAGTTAAATAACTTGTTTATCAGTAATTGGTACTTATTTGATTTGTAGAAAAATCAATTTTTGCTTCAGTGTGATTTTAAACAAAGCTTTTAATTTCAACATGTTCAGATATTTTTAAATGATTAAAATAGGATGTTAACACTCTCCTATTGTATAATATTTAACTGAGGATATTAAATCTATAACAGAATTGGACATTTAATAAAATAATTGTAGCTACTGAGCTGTTCTGTTGAAAATTATTTTTAACTTTAATGAAACATTTTTGTTGAGAACTTTCAAATTAAGTTAACCTTCTTCATTAATGCTTATTTTATTAAGTGATAAATAAATTACTAATTATCATGTCTACATATATTCTCTTAACCATAGGGGCATATATGAACAACAGGATTGAATGTTATTCTCTTTTTACAAGCATTTAAAATTAGGAAGATTTACTAGTAAGAATTTTCCATAATTTATTTTTTAATTAGTCTATGCACATGAACACAATAAATTCCAATGCAAATGTTTAGCAGCATACTGGTAATAACTAGAGAAGATGACCAACCCCTGATCTCTTAAATGTCTGAAGAACAGATGATTAAAATTTCTGTTGACTTTGTAAAACTTTGGATTTACATTTACACAATTTACATCATTAATGATTCTGCACTATGCCTTGCATCTTCCCTTTCTTTTTGTTTAAAAAGTTGTGTGCTTGTGTGTATATAGGAAAAATTTACTAAGATAAGTGTATAGAAAGTGCTTTAATTGCTATATCATCCACAGTAAATTTATGTCCAGGTTCTTAGAACATTTCACCTTTCTTAGTATATCTTGTATTATCACAGTATGAAATGTATATAAACAAAGGCAATAAAACATAATGACAAAGAAGCTAAATGAAATTGACTAAACTATATACCCAAAAATATATTAAAAAAAATCTCAAAATTTAAATGTCAAATTTCGGTGTCCCCTCTTGTTCATGCACATGTAATCATGTCAATATGAGCATAATGAAGTCTTAAATAATGAAATGTGTCACAAAGAAAATTTTTCTACTTTATCATAGATTTTCCTGGAATATATATATATATATATATATATATATATATATATATATATAATAATTATTTTTTAAAAATATGATTCCATCGCTACATAAGAGTTCCCATGTTTCAAAAACAGGAGCTAAAAACTTCAATTTAATTATGAACTTTAAATTGAATTAAAGTATCAAGCTCTATTTCATCAAGTGAAATTTTTGGAATAACCAATCTTGAAATTTACGGAGCTTTATAAACATATTCATTCATAATATTAATTACTATAGAAATAGCTGAAGTAATTACTTCAATAAGGGGTGTAAGGGTTAACATATTGTATCAACATATTAGTTACTTTCAGAAAGAGGTCAAGTCAGGGTAAACATTAAGGACATCGGGCTCATGGTAGTGAGGAGTTCAACAAATTTTAAAATAGATAAAATTAAAAAGATAATATATAGTGAATTCAGAAAACTAAATTTAAAACAAAAATACTAAAGAACTTTGGATTATTAACCTAACGTGTTCTTCCTATTTTTCTAGTTATTTATACACACACACACACATATATTTTCAGGGTGGCGATACAGTTACTTGGTTTATAATTGTAGCTCCTGTTTTACAACACAAAGATGATTTCCATGAACTTTACTTTGAACAGGATGTGGCACCACCACATCTTTCACTCAAAGTAAGAAATTATCTTGATGCAACATTTCCAGGAAGATGGCTAGGATGACATTGCAGCATTGAGTGGCCTACTTGCTCACCAGATTTAAGAAACTAAGGAATATTGATAACCTCAAGGAATTTATTTGAGATGCATTTGCAGACTTAAGCCATTAGAACCATTTGTTGAAGTGTTCTCTCACATTATAGAGAAAGTTGCAGTTCGAACAGCATTGGTAATTAATTTAATATTGTTTACCATAGCATTTTATTGTTATTTACCAGAATCATTTTAATAATAAATTTCTGGACTGTTGATTAATTGCCTTGTCTTAATTGTTATTGTAAGTAACTGTATAGTGACTTTATTGCCACACTGTGTGTGTGTGTGTGTGTGTGTGTATATATATATATATATATATATATATATATATAGTTTGTATCTATGTATAAATTTAGGACATCAGCCTAATTTTTTATACTTAAAAGCTCTACATGTTAAATTTTTATCTTTTTATGTGTATTGAGCAATTTTTAATGCTACTGTTTTGTGCTCTAATTCAGCTCTGACCCTTAACTTGTATATATACACACACACATACATGCACACAGTACAAGTATGTAGCTAAAAAAGATGAAATCATTGATCCAGCAGTCAGTTTACATGTAATGAATGTGGCAGAGTATATCACTCCATTACAGGCCACATTAGCCACAAGATGTCATATTAGTAGACCAAACTTTCCAAAAACAGGCCAGGCAAAAACAAATTAGTTTGCCATATCTGCAATAAGCATGCAAGTCACTTGAAGGTTTCAAGAGAAGTTCGCCATTCTCATGAGAACCAAAACGATCGATCATGTCTACAGTTTATATATATATATATATATATATATATATATAGTATAGTATGGCACAGATAAATCCACCATTACAAGGCAACAATGTCATGATGTCACAGCATAGAGAAGTTTCTAGAGTGCTATTAGAAAGTACTACACCTCAATAATTATCTGGAATGTGGTGCTTAACAATCAATATTTTTCAGAATATGATCATCAATCTGCTATTGTGTAGAGCTAACCACAAAGCTTGGAAATCATTAAATGGTTTAAATATCCTGAGCCCATGGTCTATGACATTGCAAAGGCATATGGAGCCTCAGGCAACAAGGACAATTTCAGGCCAGAATGCAAGTAAATACTGTGTGTAAATTACTCTCTTGATGGGTATACACATTTGGATACTTACTGGTCACAGGGATCCATCCCTGCGCTGGTAGTATCACAACTATTACTAGCTTGGACCGGCTCTAACCAGCTTGGACAAGCTAAGACCAGCTAATCCCTATTGCAGACACTCACTCAGGCATATTTGTGTTGTTCAACACCCACAGAGCCTGGGTAAACCAGTTAAATGCAAGTTGACTTAGTATCATGCTTAATTGCAAGTAGAAAATAATTTTCTTCATTATAATACCTATAAAACTCTATATTTAACTTAGAAATAGCTAAAATTGTAACCCTGGTTGTTTCCACTGATCTCTCAAATTTGTTGCTAGGTGTAAGAAGTTTAGGATAGAATTTTTCTTGTCTTGAAATGTAACAGGATGACCAAATATTTTTGGTTCAATTTAAAATTGAAAGTTCTTTTGTAAATTTAATTTGTGATGTTCTGAAAAGAATCATGTAAAAATTCTTTTTCTCTAAATAATCTATAAAAAGATTAATAAACAAGAAAATTAAAGTTGAAGATTCTTTTGTTAATAAAAGAGCAGTTTAACTAAAAAGAAACAGTTATGCTGATTACTGAGTAATATTTAAAGAGTACATCAGTGTAGGCATATCTTGCTAATCTGTCTATTCAGAATAAAAAAAACTTTTTTTTTAACTTGGCTGATTATAAAATTTTACTGATGTTAAGTATTTTTTAATAAAAATATCAAACAGTATCAAAACAAAATAAACAAATATGTGAATAGAAATCAATTACCATTAGCTTTTCTTTGAATCATTTGTACTCCTCACATCTGTGCTTCTAAGTTTTCAAAAATTATACAAATTTGTCCTTATATGTTACTGACTTATATATACAGGAGTGGGTGCTGATAAGTTCTTCATCTAACCCCCCTCATAAAATAATCCATTTAATGACCAAAAGTTTGAATATAATTTTGTAGATTGTGTTGGTCCAAGAACTCTTTAGTATCTATCTATCTATCTATATATATATATATATATATATATAATTAACATAAATTTTGTCACTTAGCTGATTGGTGTTACCTTCAACATCCCAATTCCAGTGTTTCATAGATGAACCCTCCAGCAATCACTCTGATCACTCGTCAGCGGAGATACACGTGCATTACAGAGATGCCTTTTCTTTTCCATTACTTCAGAGGACCATTTTATTATTTTGGCCACTAGCAACATATTTTTAGTAGAAAATATAAAGCAAATACACAGGTTTATTATTTCACACACCATTGATAGAAGTAATTTAACAAAGCTGTAGAAGTATTTACTTTTATTCTTCTGTTGGCAATATTGCATTTTCTTTAACATTATTAGTGAATTGTCTACTTTTTCTGTTTTGTTTTTTTTTGTTTTTTTTCTCAGAGACATCTTAAGGCAATGTGCGTGTCAGATCAGAACAAACCATGGAATGAAATTGGACAGCAATAACTTCTGTTTGATGGCTGGTTCAACAAAGATGCCTGAATTTAGCATGGTGACAAGAAGGAAGATATACTGGTTTTGTTTCCCATTTGTGGGATCAAGACACCTATCATTTGTCATTGTAACTGCACTTTTACTATTTGGTACTTGTACTTCAGGTATCTCAACACATTGTAAGTATATTTGTACATGATTTGTAAAAAAGTTATAGGAAGAATATATTATTTACTTGAATAAAAGTTGTATGTCTATCCATGACCAATAATTATGGATTTGCTTAATATAAAATCTAGGCTACTCATGATAGTAGTGTTGATTGTATGTTGCTTTTGCAAGATACTGAAAATGAACTTTCATGAAGTCTGAAACCTAGACTGGCAGATAACAATAAATCTGTACAGAGTACTCTGGGTACCTAATACAATTGTTTGTTGTTAGTCAATAGGCAAGTCACAATATTCTTCAATATGCAATAAACAGTGCAGGTGGGGCTTTAATAAAGAGGTGTTCAGATTTTAAAGGGCCAAAAAGTATGAGATTAATAAACAGGGTGATTTTAATAAGCTATGAGTAGGGGAAGAAAATTTCCTCAAAAACATGTTCCTCACCTCTGTCTTAGGTCTCTAAAGGTAATATATTAGAGAAATATGATCTAATCATCAGCTTGATGCTGCTGTTATTTTTGTATGTCTGTTAATTTTTTTCTTTGATTAACTTGATTACACATGGTAATCCTTCCAAAAGGATGCATTCAATTAATTCATATGCTAGTATGTAGGTTACACTAAATTTCAGAATTTGACTTATCTATTGGAGTAATTGAAGGACAAAAGTGCATTGTTAATCCTAAAGTTTTTACTCTCAAATTTGATTTTTATATTCTTTGGAAAAAAAGATAATGCATAGGTTTTTTTTTTTTCTCTTTCATGGCATTATCATTTGTATCTTTCTTTTTACAAAGGAAATTTTTTCTATTCTTTTCTGTCTCAGACTACATGGACAATAAACTTGACTGCAGCATGCAAGGCTTCATTGATATCCCATCTGATGTGCATATAGTTGTCACTCTCAGGGGTAGCGCACAAAAGGTATTTGATGCACAGCGCTGTGAACTGCGATTTCAAGCCCAAAACAAAAGAGAATTCATCAAAGTTGAATTTGAGAAATTCTACATTAGCAGCTGCAGAGTTACATTTAGTGTCAATCGTGTAAGTATCATTTTGTAATTGAGAAGCAGGATGAGATGAGAAGCAAAATACTAATAATTGGTTTGGGATATGATTTACCATTTTGAGTGTTAGATCTACATAGAAGCTAACTGGCACTCCTGGTAATTAAAAGTTGTTCAATCTTGGAGCTGTATTTAAGTTCTGTCAATTTATTTGTTAGTTTTTGTAGCAGGTGCCTGGTCAAGCCTTGTCACTTTGAACAAGATATTACTGTTGCTATTTCCATCTTTTGGATTTTCTATCTACTCTTACAGTTGGTGGCAGAACATAATTATGGCCACTAAATGTAACCTGAAAATCCCTCCATAGCGGTTTTGAAAAAAGATTTGGAATTGTGGATTTTCAGAGGACAACAGGGCCAGATTGACCATATCTGAATTAACTGTGCAGGAGATGAACTCAGATAATGGAATTGAACTGCTGGTCAATAAATTGGATCCTATATTTCTACAGGATAACAATTGGTGCTGTTTTAATGCATATTTATTATTCAAAAATTTTAAACACATACCTAATGGAAGTATTGATGAATACTTCAGCAAATTACATGAACTTGGAGAGATGGAAATTGAACTGTCAGATGCATTTTTTCATGCAGATTGTTAAAAAGCTGCAATTGAAATGAAATTCACTTCCAGTTAGCTCTGTTCACCACACAAGAAATGACACACTGAGGCACACTTTAAAAAAATTATTTACTGAAAGTGGTAGCGTATTGCCTACATTTGGTAGTGAAAGTATGATGAACCCTATAAAAGAGGAGCCAGTTATCAAGGGTGAAGCATTTTACAACAGATGTAGGAGTGGCTGATACAGAAGCTGGAAACCTCATAGAAATAGATGTGGAGGAAAAAGCAATCTCAGGGGTTTAGACAGTAAAATTACCAAATGTTCCCAGAAACACTGAGCTCGTAATTGCCTTGATGGTAATAGTTGTGAAACAGGAGGGGTTGCCTGCAGTGTTGTCCTTGAAGGAAACACAAAATAATTGTGTGCAATCTGAATCTGGTATCAATAGAAAGGATGTTAACTGACTTATTTCTCAGGAAAAAGGAAATTACAAATTTTTGAACAAAGGCTGCTCCACAACAGTGTGTGGTGTAGATTAGCTAACAGAATATTTGGAAGAATTAAGAATTTTCTCTAGATGGAACAATAACTGCAAGAAATGCTCTGATCAATAACTTTGATTTTTCTTCTAAGCAACCTGTGTTTGGACACAATCTTGCTTTACCAAATGTATTTGAAAATGGTCCCGCTGCATTGGAACCAATGACAGCATTGTCTTGCAAAATTGTGAAGGACAACTTGCAAACAATTAACTCTGTGAGGCAAGAATTCATTAGAGCAGAGTCTTGTGAATGACTGAAACAGGCCCTCTAACAAAATATCCAGGCCAGCAAGGGGAGCAATATTCAAGGTTGAGATGCAGTATTTTACAAAAGATACATGTCATCAGAGGCATGGAATAGTAATAGATCATGATGGAAAGCAATTTTTAGTGAGGCATAGAAACATTTATGTGCAAATACCTGACTGTTGTTTGGCATTTGCACCAGTTTGGAATGGTAACAAAAGATGAACATGAAAAACAATAAAGAGTCTCACAGTGCATCCACTACACTGTGTAACATGATTTTTGTCCTTGGGTAGCAACTGTTATTTCATATTGAATGTGAACATTCTTGTTCATGCAACATAGGACCAGAACAATATATGATTCAAAAGTAGCATTTATTTATTCTAGGATTACACAAGAAAGACCACAAAAAATTTTAACATTAGTTTTTCCTGTTTTATGATTATACTGTAAATTTACAAATCAGCTCCCAAATATAGTCTCCCATCATGTTTATGTTGTACGATCATTGGTAGTGGTATTCAAAGTCCTGTATATCCTGGTGGAAGCACTCACTTTGCTCTTCTGAGTATGCCCACATGTTCTTGAATTATATGGACCTTGACAAACATCCTGCAGCCTATTTTTCCATAGTTCTTCACCAGGGTTAAAACAAGCTTCATATAGTTTTTGGCCTTGTAATTCTCCTGGAAGTACTTGAATCACTATGACAAAGTTGTTCTGTGTGCTTTCTTATCCTAGTGAACTTTTTGGGGAATTCCTTTTCCATTGCACAGGGCCTTGTTGGCCGAGGTGGGTGCATCTTCCTTCCATGCCAGTGTAGGCATGTTAGGCCTACCTCTTTCAGGGCTCAAGTAAGGGGCCCTCATAACTTCACTAGCACAGGGCCTCATTTGTCCTAGATCTGGCACTGCTTACACTTTATGAGCTTCTTTATTTGATTTTTACTGCAGAGAGCTTAGGGTAGAAGTCTTGAAGGTACTTGAAGGCAGCAGACTACTTACCTAGAGCTATAACATTGTTTCATAAGGCCCAGTTTTAAGTACAGTGGAGGAAATCATACTTTCTGGGGAAACAACAGAGGATCCCATTTGACATTGGCCACATTAGACAGAGTTTAGTGTGAGGAGGAACAATCTCACATGTGATAGTGTGCTGTGGTGTTCCTGCTGTCCCAAAGGCAAAGATAACACAGACACTTGTTAAAGCTGCCTTGAAGACCTATCAGGAAGGCCACTATTTTGAAGTCTGCAATAAACTCACAACTATACTATCCATATTTCAAGGCATCTAGCAAGATCTTGACACTGTTGTTTTCCTTTTTGAGCTGCACCGAGTGATCCAGGGTAGAGATGGATACATATTCCTATTATAAAGCAGCAGGGCTTTGAGGCTGGTGTTACAAGTGATTCGGTCTCAAACAGACCAGTCACATTGTGGTAGAAACAAAGCCTATCTTGACAAGTGAAAAAGCTTGAAAAACACTGGTGATGTTTTCTCTGACCTGTGACTTGCATACTTTCATTTAAGAAATTCAACTGCTTGAGTTTTGACATCAAAAGCTCATCATTGGACTTTGCAAGACCATGATCTCCAATCAGGTTGTTTAGGTCTTTTTTAGTTGGGGTCATTCTCTTCTGAATTGGTGTTTTCTTCTAAAGATGGCTGCTCGCTCTTTGAAGGAGTGGATATGGGGAGCTCAGATAAATGTGGCATTGGAATGAGTGAAGGTCTGGATATATGATAGCAGGTGCATTCTTGCCAGCTTAATGTTTGGAAGGGTTCACTATGCAGAAGAAACAATTGCTTGTTTGATCAGTTGGTTCCTTCCAAATTCATGGGATTGTGAATTTCATGGATCTATTTCCTCTCTGTACCATCCTGCAAAAGAGCCAAATAAAAATACGAATATAAAAATACAAATATATTTCATCCAGTGTTATTGAAAAATTCTAAAAAATTACATTTTTGATTTTTGAAATTTCTATTACTTCTTCACTGGATGTAAAATTCTGACTTTTGACCTTATTTAATGTAAAAAATACCACAAAAATATCCAATCTTGAATATTGAACATTCATAATATTCCGTATTTTTATGACTCTTACCAGTGATCCTATATAGAAAACATCCATGATACTGTGGACATTATTTAATACATATTTTCAATAACACTGCTTTAAAAAATTAAAAGTGAAAATTATTTGAATTAAAAAAAAATTCCAAAACTTTTACACTAAAAGTTCTACTATTCAAATAAGCAAACCTTTCCATTCTAGAGTTCTTTTGCAGAGTTTGCAGGAGAAATGAGATGCCTAGGTTTTGTCTTGATCTGCAAAAAGGCATGTTGAAATATGCCTTGTAGGCCTCACACATTTTAGCAGATGTTGCCACAGAGTACTTTTTCACTCTTGTCTTGATAAATTCACTATAGACAAAGCAAAATGCTTGTCTGATGCTTAAACCTCTTGATGCCATCTGTGATGAATGGATTTATCAATGATGACTGCACTTGGACAGCTAGAAGTAAACTGAAATGTTGAACTTGCATTTCCTGTATTTATACTGCCATCTTTGTTGCCAGAATGTACTAGAAATTCTTGAAACTTTTAGAAACTTCTTGAAACTTTTAGAAAATTCTACTTCAGCAACTAATGGCTGCGTAGTAGTGTGTTGATAAAGATAAATGGTTTGTAGATGTCTGTTTACGGCTGCGTGAATAACATGACCACACAATTTATATTTGATGTAAAATAACACAAAACAGGAAATACAAGAAGGAACAAAAAGTTGAATTAATTACAAAGCTGAGAAATGATGAATAAACTGTAGCTTTAGAAGAATATTTCAAAGAGAAAAGAGTTCTTGTTGTTTGTTTGGAAATGTTCTGTATGTTTGTAATGTAGTTTGGAAAAGTTTGTACATACGTACGTGCTTGCGTGAATATGCTTTTAATGTCTCATGATCGAGACGAGAATTCTTTTGAGACTACATCTTACATTGAGAAGAGAGAGAAAAAAGAAAACGAGGTCAGAAGTCACCCAGTATTTATAGTATAGGGAGAGGGACCCCTAGTGGACAATTAGGAGAAGCTAACTTCGACAGCTGAATCTGTCTGGAATGTAATAGAATGTAATAGAAAATAGGTTAGTTTCAAAACCTCAATCTCCAGGTCATAAAAGCAAAGTTTGAATGGAAAAGTTCATTTTCTTTGTTTTCCAGACACACACATATATATATATATACATACATACATACACACACATATATATATATATATATATATAGAGAGAGAGAGAGAGAGAGGTGACAGGCAGTTTCATGCTAGACGTCAATCGTGGCCTGACTAAATCCCAATGAGATTTAAGCAATTTAGGATATTGAAGTGATTCTTCCAAAATTCTCTCAGGGTCAGGTTTGTATTTTCAGCCACTACAAAACATTTCTGAAACAAAGCAGCTTCATCACAGCTTCTCCATGTCTCGCTACACTGTGGATGCCAGTTCTCTTTTAAATAAATTTAAAATTTTTCAAAACAACCTCAGCTTGCCTTAAATACATTTTCATCTTCAGAAGATGTGCCTGGTATTTTTCTGATGAGATCCACATACAGTGCTCT